AAACTGTAAACTTATTTTAAATACAGTGTGCGTTTATTTCCAACCTCTCACGACATGAGAACCTCCAGATCTCCACCCAGTTCCCCTAGTTTCCTTCGTGGTTGTGCCCTTTAAATCTTGATTGGGGCACAGTGCGTTTAAATTTAATCCACCCAGTTCGGTTTTGGCAGACAAACAACTAATCTGTGACCCAAACAAACAGAACGGAACAAACGGGAGCTGGCGGGCAGTCCCCGGAGGTGAAAGGGCGACTTGCGGCGGCTAATGTAGAATGCTGATGAGCGAGTGTTGAACCACAGACAACAAATGTTCATTTCAATTAGTGCACGGGCCAGAAACGCTGCAGAACTAAATCCGGCCATCAAAACAAACTTACAACCCGGCCAGGGCTGGAAACAAAAACGGAGATGCGGCAGATAAAAGAGAACGAACAGAGAGCACTGGGCGGTGGCAAAAAGTGGAAATAGAAGATGATAAAATGCCTGAAATGCGACAAACAGCTGTCAGCTTGACAGTCGACGACGACGCAGCCAGGCCACAAAAAACACCCAGCGATGGCTGGGAAATGTGGGTGTGCGAAATGCGGGAAAATCACAGGAGATCGGAAAGCCACCGAACAGACCAGACTCGCTAGAAGGCGGCAAGCGACAGAGACCCAGTGTCATATGGACTCGACATACTTTGACATGCTTTTCATTTAAGCGTTGACTTTGCCAACTGTGCCGCCTTGTCTTGCCTGCCCAAGTGTCTGCCAGCACCTCAGCACCGTTGGTTATACAACTTGGCCAAGTCGGGGCGACGGAAATATGCAGCTAAAAGCCAAAAAATCCACAAGGAAAACGATGGGGCCTCGCCGTAAACAAAGCAACCCCAACAAAATACAAATCGAAAGACGTGAAAAACAACTTTTCCGCAAGAAGTTTAAGTCTGGTTGGCAAAGTGTTGAAGTACTTGGATTTCTGTTTACCATGGTGATTGTCTCTGTTCAAGCTTTGCGGAACGAACTTTCCATAATGGTGTTTGCTTAAATATATAAAGGACATTTAAATATTAAAGAATTCAAAGACGTTGGACATTATTTTAAAACAAAATGTATCCACTACGAACCCTTTTTATACCCTTGCAGGGTATTATAATTTCAGTCAGAAGTTTGCAACGCAGTTAAGGAGACCTTTCCGACCCTATAAAGTATATATATTCTTGATCAGCATCAACAGCCAAGTCGATCTAGCCATGTCCGTCTGTCCGTCTGTCCGTCTGTCCGTCTGTCCGTTTCTACGCAAACTAGTCCCTCAGTTTTAAAGCTATCTGAATGAAACTTTGCATATAGTCTTCTATATACTCTCACTGCTATATATGTCGGAACGGGCCGGATCGGACGACTATATCATATAGCTCCCATACAAATGATCGATAAATTTTTAGAAAAAAATTTATAACTTGGCTGTTTATCAACATTTTTAAACCATTTTTTAGATATGGTCATTTTATATTATTCAAGAATTTCGGTAAAAATTTCATGAAAATCGGACGACTATATCTTATAGCTGTCATAGGAACGATCGGGAAATTAATAGAAAAAACATTATAACTTCGTTGTTTTTCAACCTATTTTTATCTACTCTGAGATATAAGCTTATTTTATTAGTTCAGAATTTTCGTATGAATTTTATGAAAATCGGACAACTATATCATATAGCTGCCATATAAACCGATCGGTAGATGGAGAGAAAATGTTAAACTGGGAATGTAAAACTGTAACTGTCAAACTCTAAACAATAAGTATAGGTAAAATTTAATGAAATAATATCTGCAAGGGTATACAAACTTCGGCGTGCCGAAGTTAGCTTCCTTTCTTGTTAGTGTATATATTTTATTAAATATTAACGACATCTTTTTAAATCTCTGTTATTTTTTAAAGTCTCTTAATAATTAAGGTAGAGACTCAAATTCTTGGCCCCAGCAATTCCTTTAACGCATTTTCAATCCCACTGAGTATGCTTTCAATGCCATTTATCCCATCATCGAGTTCCCTGCATCTTGCCTAAGCTTTGGTTACCAGTTATCCAGAACAAAAAGAAAAGGAAAAAGACCAAAGCAACCACAACCTCAGGCTCCCACATACACACAGACAGACGCACGGAGAGTACACTCTGTGCTACTTTGCCTGACCTGGATTCCGGGGAAAATGGAAATAGAAAAGAAACCCCGGCAGAAGTCGGCTCACCTGAGTTATTTGGCAAAGAGATGAAGATAACGCAACATGTGGAAGGAGACTTAGGCGAAAGCCCACCGAGAAAATCCTCGCCATCTCTGCTTAGCTCTCTGGAATCATTTGCATAATTCCTGCGATTTCGTTTTCGGGGAAGAGCAGCGCAGGCCTGATTAAGCTGGGAAATGTCAAACTATCAGTGAAAATTGAAATGGTTCACTTAATAAATGCCCGAGTGTCCTTCGCTGGATGGCAGGCTCAGGCTGATGCCGTTGGCCCGACTAATATCTAATTTATGCAAGGACATTCCAGTTCCAACCTCCTCGGGCTGTCCACAAAAATATTTTTCGCTTTCGTGGCACAAAAAGCTGCAAGGCGACGCCCTCTGCTCACCATTTTTCGGTTTGATTTTACGGCTTAGGGTTGCCCAACGCTTCTTCTCTTCCCTCTTGTTTCATTTTTTTCTCTTCTTTTTACTTTTGTTTTTGTTGTTGCCTCTCCTATTTTGTGATTCCACTAATTAAAGCCACATTAAGCATTGCTTTTGCCACCCGCCGCACCCTCCTCGGCTATCTGTCTGCCTCAAGCTGGGGCCATGTGTCCTCGTAACATAATTATCTGGGGTCCTTGAACGCATGCGGCCCTTGGAACGAACGGCAAAATTAAAATGAAAATAAAAATAAAGAGGAATTAAAAGTAAGAGGAAAAATGGGGAAAATTCCAAGCGCTGCACACCAACCGAAAAGTATTTGTACTTGCAAAATTAAATGCAAAATGGAGCGGAATGATAAAGAGCTTAGTGGCCGGGGTCGAATCTGCTGATGGGGGGATCACAATTTATCTGGTTATGCAATTTAGCAAAAGGGTTGCCACACACCCACACACCCACCCACCGAGGAAAAGGGTCTTAAGCATTTCCCTGAGTGAACTCAAGTGACAGGTCGAGAGTTTTTGAGTCGAGCCACCGCCTACGCCGCCATGATTGATGGCCAAAGTTGGAGCAAAATTATTATGTATAGATAGGGGCTAATTCCAAATTGGATACCCAATCCCCACACAAGCTTGAGGCGACCGAGCGCTCACCTGATGCTCTGGCCCGCTCTGTTAACCAAACCCGACCAAACAATCTTGAGTAAATTAAATGCCACACTTGAATGCAAATTGAAAACCTCTCAGACAAAGCAGCAAGTGGCTGGCTGAGTGGCAGCTGCAAATCTTCACACGATTATTGACACCCGGCGTGGGTGGCCATATGCCTTATATACTTTGTCTTTTATTCCCGATTATTACGGCAGATTTATTTGGGAAATATTTATGCAAAATACGTGCACAAGTCTTTAATCTTGAGCCGAGTAACTTTGCCAAAATTGTTTGATATGCAGAAAATTGAAAGGCAAAACTTTACAGACAAACAATCACACAGCGAAAAATAATTTCTTATCTTTGTGCATAAAAATATAACTTTTTCCATCAAGAAAATAAAGATGGTTTATTGCAAACTTAAATAAACCATCTTTATTTTCTTTAAAAATCAATAAAACGTGTGAAGAGTTTGCCTTTGTGACTGTGAGACGTCATATTAAGTATCATATTAAGTGCCTTTAAAAGGCGATTTAAATTATGCAACATAAACTAAGAATTCGTTAGCTACAAAATTATTTTGCATTCTTTTTAACACCTTTTCAAGGGTTGTAAAACCCCTGATGATTTCTAAAGCACCCTAGAATATGTTGAGCTAAGAGAAACAATAAGAAATAATTTATTTTGAGCATCACAAAGTACAAATTTATTTCTGTGCAGACACAGCATTCGCTCTTCCACACTTGATACAAAACAATGCCAAGTGTAGGAAGCACTTCAAGCAGAGAGACATCGAGACGGGGGACCGTAGAACAATGCCAAGACACTTCCAGCACAATGACAAATACATTTTCATGGGAGATAGAGGGAGAGATACATAGAGCTTCAAAGGCAACGAGAAACCCATTTGTTTTCACAGACATTTGCGCTTCCAACTCCTTCAGTCGTTTGCGAATACCTTGGCAAATACAATGGCGGCGTGGTGGTGCGCGAAATTTTTCACCGCCCGCATGGGAAATGGAAATAATTTTGCATTCTGGACATTTGAGACAAAGGAACAGCCAGCGAGAATGATTGTGGCATAAAAGGCCCTAAGCTGGGCTAATCCGCATGCAAACTCCATCCATTACTTGGTCAAATATTGAAGAAGTTTGCTTTTATTCACCAGAAGAGAATTGAAAAGATTTAAACTTAAATATTATCTACGTTAGTGAAAAGTTTTATATGTTTTACCATTAGTATATTAGTCTATATTTCGGCTTAGAAGAGGGGGAACAATGATTACCGAAATGTATAAGCAAATAAATCTCTGGGTTATTTGTTTATTTGGAAAATATATATAAGAGCTACATTTATGTCGTTTTAAACCAACATAAGTAAAAGGGCACAGACTGTAATTAAATGTATCCCCTTGCCTTGGGCAGGCTTAAAAGAGAATCTATTGTATTTACCTTATTTAACACACACAAAGTGTAATAAGCCTTAAGAAATTTAAGCTTGGCCAACATGCAACAAGAAATACACAATTTTTCGCTTCAACGGTTGACTTTACCCTCCATTACCCATTCGCCCCGTATGAATAATTTCGTACGGCAACGGACATTACTCATACGACCCGTGCACTGCCTCCCCCAGCGAACAAATGAACTACAGCACGAGCTCGGAGATTAATATGCAACCCACTTCCCCTTTTTTTTGCTACTTGCAGTCACCACCGTCGAGCCGAACAACATGTATACGACCTGTATACCCATTGGAGGAAACTACTCGGGCGGCGGCGGTGTCTTCGCACCCACCACCCTGGCCAACGCCTCCTCGGACACTCTGGCCTCCGGCTTTGAGGCGGCCGGCTACGCGGCCTATTCCACGGCGCTCAGTGTGACAATTGCCATCGGTTGCAGCCTGCTGATACTCAATGTCCTCATTTTCGCCGGCGTCTATTACCAGCGGGACAAGACTCGGCTGGAGGTGAAGACCCTGCAGAAGCAGTACCAGCAGCGCAGCCTGCACCAGCAGGTGCCCTATCCGCCCGAGCCCATCAAGCATGCCCACTACCACATGGGTCACTCGCAGAGCTCCGCCAATGTCATCGTGGACGTGGAGAGCCATCAGGATCAGGCCGGTCAGGCGGCCATGTTGCTCCAGGCTGCAGCAGCCGCCGCAGCAGCAGCTGCCAACGACGTGAAAGCACCACCACCGCATATCTGCTCTAATACAGGTGAGTAGGAGTTGTTCTTGCCAAGATTGGGGACTTAACTATACAGCAATTAAAGATTTCTTTGGACTTTAAAATAATCTTATTCAAGTTTAAATATAATATAATTGTATCTTCTTTCTTATGCTCTCATAGGTATGCAGCAGCAGCAGCAGGTGGGCGGCGGCAGTGGCGGGGCACTGAACAATGGCGGAATTGAGGGTGGCAAGGTGACCACCGACAACCTGGGCAATGTCACCTACAGCACCAGCTCCAAGCAGCAGCAGCAGCACCAACAACAGCAGCAGCAGCAACAGCAACGCGAACACATGCAGATCAAGGGAATGACCGGCACGCAAACCTTCGGACGCAGTAGCTCCGGCTCGGCGAGTGGAGTCGGCGGAGGGCCCTCTTCTGGCGGCGCCTCCGTTGTGGTCTCCGGCAGCAGCGTGAGCTACAATCCCGGCATGATGACGCTGCCCAAGTCGGGGGGATTGCACCATGCGGCCACGTTGAACTATGCTCGCAACACGGCCGCCTTGAATCTAGCGGGCGGTGGCACAGCCCTGGTGGACAGTCGCGGGAATGTCCTGCTCACCAGCACCGCAGTGGGTCCTGGTGCTGGCGGCGGATCCTCTGGAGGCGGCGGCGGTGGCAGTGGCGGCGGCGGGGACTGCATGACGCTGCCACGAAATCTTGGCCTGGCGGGCGCAGGGCGTCACAATCCCACGACAGGTGAGTGCCACAAACTACGGGTAACTCGAGGAGGCAACAGCCAAAGGATATGCAATTGAATTGCGTTTGCAGCTTCCCAAAAAGTTGCAAGTTTGTTTTCCGCTCGCTCCTTTTCCACATCTCGGAGCTGCGCCAGGACGAAGCAACAATGTTGCGGCAGGCAGCAATCAAGCTGAAATGTGATAAGATTTCATTTCATTATGAAGTGCTTGTTTCCCTTTCTCCGCCTCCCACCTCCCTGCACCCGATTCTCGAGTCTCCACTCGACGGCTCTCTGTGTCTCTGTCTCTGCGCTCCTCCGAGTCTGCTTATTCGATTTCAAGCAAATGAATTCGAGATTGAAAAGCTTTTGTGAGAGTTCACACTCGGCAAGCATTGGCATTGGTAAAATACAGTTTGCATTACAATCAGCCCGAGACTTGGATGCGGTTTAGCTGTGAGAATGTATTCGGTTTTCCTCGATACGGAACATCGTATAATTGAAAGTAAATATGAAATCAGTTTTCAGTAGAGCAGGAGATTTATGCAGGATAAAAGTTTAGCTTAAGTCCAATATTATTTTCATGAAACTATCAATACATTATAGATTGCATTCGATTTTTTTCACTTGTATATATTAATATCATTCCATCAAAAATGTATAACTATTTTCCTATTAAGTGTAAACAAAAACCCAATACTTTGCCTCAAATCGAATAACAATATCCCTCGAATAAGTCATCACAAATATGTTTATACGATTTCTTAACTCACTTTCAATGGCTGCTCTTTAAGTCCTTAAATCCAAACAATGGGTTAATGGATGACTAAAGGCTCCCCGTCCTCGGCTAACTGGTTGTCAGAAAAAAGGACGAGCATGACAGAGGAATGTTGGGACCTGTCAGGGGTACACCGCCCACATACACATAAATTTCCTGCTAAATCATCCCGAGCAAACGAAAATATTGCTTAATCAAATTGAATGACCTTCGTGCCCAAAGGTCTGACGTTGCAAAAAGCCAAAGGCAGCAACAAAATAAAAAAAAAACGAGAATGTCCGCGTGAAAATTGAAATTGTTCTAATCAGCCATCGAGGAGGTTGTTTCGCCCTTGTTTTCTGTATTTTTTTGGCCCGGCTAACACGTGTTATTGAATCATTGGAAAGGAAAAACGGAGCACCAAGAGGAAAAATGAGAAGAGGACCGGGAAAAACATTTACGCTTCGCTGGGGTTCAACGGACTTTTGACTTCTGACCACACAGACAGCGGCCCGAAACCCCGAAACCCGTAATCCCGGTTTGTCGACTTGGTCTGCAGCGGAAATTGTTGTACAAATTATGCTCCACTGATTGCCAGGGTTTTTAGTGTGTTTCTCCCGTGGGCTTCTGTTGCTTGATGAGCTGTTAAATGCGAAGGGGGGCCCAGAACTGCCAGCTATTGACAGTTTTTCCCAGCCATCACGCAATAAAGTCGTTAGGGGCCACTTCAAGAAATATGCCCCCAACTAATAAATCTCCAATATAAACGGCAAATAAAATAAAGATTCGACTTGCGATTGTATCATTCCCAGTCACGACATGATTTTTATGATAAGATTTTCAATTTCAATCGCCAGACAAAACTGTAACGATAACGATAAAGCAAATCTGGGAGAGAGCTCCCAGCTCCGTAAAGGTAGCGCCGGCAGTAAAACAACTCAACCACATTAAGCCAATAAAAAAAAAAATCGAATAAAACTGTTGGTTTTAGTTTAGCATAATAAAATGAAAACATTAACCGAGCCAGCGGTGCAGAATAAGTTAGGAGCGCGGCAACCCCACCATCTCTGCATTCGGAATTATGTGTATTTTATGGCGGGACCCGCAGCGGAAAGCCCCACAATCCAGACCCCGCCGATGTCGCTGGCATATTTCAGTTCATAAATACAATTTCAGCAATCGATGGCAAATAAAACAACAATCCGATGAGCCGCTGCTGCCGGTCAAACGACGCCGAGCACAGGTCGGCAAACTCCAATTGTTTTTTCAAATAACAAAAACTGTTGTTTCTGTTCAATATATCCCGGCTGAACCTGACAGATGAGGGAACTCATTTTAATTTTCCATAAACAAATTAGGGTTGAACGATGAAAATACCAAGCATACATATTTTAGCATGGGACTGACAGATAATTTATTCAAAAATAAAATTCTGCGAATTTTTAAGCAAATTTAAAAATAAATTAAGGCAGAGGTTATTTATAGAATTTGATGACATAATAAATACACATTATTCACAAGTTGTTTGGATTCTTTGGAATGTTGTTGAATTTAATTGTTTGTTTATTTCTCAATTTGATAAAAGTATAATGACTAGATTTTACTCTGAGCTGAAAATAAGTTAGTTAAATTGCAAAAACTAGCAAATGGAATTATTTAAACTGAAAACTTTGCCCATAACTCATTCAGTTTTCTATATAAAGCAGACCCTCAAATGTTTATTTTTTGGAAAATCCTGCAAACTGTAAATCCATTCAATCACAAATTTACACTCAATTTCCACTTCCCACGCACTCAAATCGAACCCCATTTTCCGAGAACCAATTTTCAAAGACGAGAAATTCCAGGGAATCCAATTTTTAGCTACTTGAGCAGGTTTATGCACTTCTATTTTGTCAGCTCGCTCTCTAATTGCTGGTCGATAATGGGGAAAAGCTGAAAAATGCGGATAGCAAGTCCGACTTGAGCCAAATTCACATTTTCATTGGATTGCCGTGGCAAAGTGAGTTCTCTTTTTTCTTATTTTTGCATTTGCATAGAATATTTTGTTGCTGATTTAATTTTACGCTCGCGCCCTAACGGAAGCGGAAATTCGTAGTGGTTAAGTGGGATGATGGGCGTGGCACTCGGCGCTGTTTTCGCTGATTATGTTTATTATGATGATGATGATGGTGATGATGACGAGGAAGCTGCCGTCGGCGAAGCCATCAGGTGGCGACGTTGTCGGAAGTGGCGAGTGTTTCTCTGTTGGCATTTTTGAGCGCTCTGTGCATTATTTATAATTATTGCGAATTTTCATATAATTATGCGTGGGCGCATATTTCCAGCATCTGCCCGACGCTCAATTTTCCTCTCCATGCATATATTTTGTGCTTTTCCCCTCCGAGCCAGTTATTTATTTGAGCAGCAAATTTTTCTTGCCGGCGAAGAGACTATAAATATTAAAGTCAACGGTAGTTTGTGTCTGGGCGAGAATCCTTGTGTAATTAATGTTTGTTCTGAGATTTTTGTCCGCTTAAGGCACTCGAGTGGCATATTAAACTCATTGCTGTTGTTGCCGCTGCCGTTCCTGCTGTTGCCTTTACTTGGCTCTGGCTCCGGTGTTTGCGAATGCCTGCGGATTATGTGAGTTTGCTGACATTGTTGAACGGCAGTTAAATGCCTCATTAGGTTAAGTTGCCTTCACTTCAACCTGTTTCCGGCTCAAGTTTTTGTCGGAAAATTGGCAAAAGATTTCATAATTTAATTCGAGACCAGTTGAGTTCGTCTTTTGTTTACTTTTATTACAAGGACATGCAACATTTAACCATGAAATGCTGTGTATTTGCTGAGGATGTTTAATTATTTATTGTTTTTGATATATAGCCTTAAATGAGTGTCAATAATCAATAGTAAAAGGAAAATACAAGATTTGTCACATTTAAAATTAATCTAAATGGAATTAAAACAAAATACAAAATTCAATTTTGTGAATATTTATCAGAAATGTAAATGGAAGTACAAGTGTTAAAGTTTCACCTTTTTCACCCCTCATAAATCATCTGGAAAAGCTTCACACACACACACACACCCACACTAAGCGTTCAGTTTACTGACTTGCAAAGTGAATTGGAAAATGTGTTGCCAACTTTTAGGGCAATCGAAATGCCCGTGTATTATGTTGCTGGGAAAAAAGAAAAGTTTGTTTGGCAAAATTTTGATTAGAAAGAGACTTAAAACTAAGCTAGCCCCCTGCATACATGAATGGGAATTGAGAACTGGGCCCGTTCAATCGATAAAAATCCTTAGTCAGCCTTTTTGGGGCCTTAATCATTTTCAATACAACTTTCGTTCTTTTTTTTCGATTTTGTGCAATGGGCAACAGCTCTGAGCTCTTTGAAGCCAGCGTTAAGCACTCAAAGTGGGGCTATTTCATATTTGCTCTGTTTTTTTGCTCCTCTACGCCTCTGTGTTTTCAATTTATTCAGATTTATACTTTGCATAGAGAGTTTTTGGCGGATGAGCCCAGAAATGAAGCAAAAATAAAAGAGCCGACCTCAGACAAGTGCAAAAAAATGAGAGAAACCAAGTGAGCAGGAAAAAAAAAATCAACGAAATTGAGTAAAAACAATGAAGCGTAAACGATTTTTGCTGACATGTATGTGGAGAGCAGGAAAAAACAGCATAAATATAATAAAAATAAGGCAGCAAACAAAAGGCAAACGCGAGTTGCCTGTTAAGCACCCCAAACATGGCCAAAAGTATGTACAGTTGGGGTTGAAATAGTAGGAGTTATAGGAGGAATTATAAATATAATTTACAATATCATTTTTAATGAATTTTGAGACAAGTTTAGGTATTATTTGAATATATTAGTTCAATAGAATATATTTTATAACTAATTTTTAGATTTGTATTTCTTCAAAAACTTTATTCATGGAATTTTATCTGAATATGTTGGACTATTTGTGAATTTGGTTTAATTATAATGAATTAAGGAACAAAGCACCACCAAAGTTGCTCAATAAACTCTCTTCATAATCAATATGGATTTTATTATCATTATATTTATGTATTAGTATTACTTTTATCACTATTGTTCTTACCAAACCTCTTCCAATTAATATATTAAGTCGAAACAAAACTCTCAGAACTATTTTTCCGCCCATAACTGTGATGAGTAAAAGATGATGGGCGGGTAAAATATAGACTGAGAGAGGAAAAGCACCTTATCCGTGACGTGACATGATTGTCATCCACATTGTCAACGGCAGGGCAACCGCA